TGCTACAACCTATACTGGGAGGGTTTTTTTTAATTTGGCATTACACGAGTTCACACCTCCTGACTTTCTGAGATGGGAAAGAGAGACACCTATTAGCAAAAATGAAGTTAGACACAGAACATGCCCCTGACACATCCCTTTCTATGGGGAAATGAAAACTAAACTCTCTCATTCAACACATTAATAATTTTTATTTCTAATGCTGCTAGTTTTAGTATATAGATAGAAGGTATGGAAATCTTTTTATTTTTATTTATTAACCACTTCAAATCTGGGAGCTTTCACCCCCTTCCAGTCCAGACCAATTTTCAGCTTTCAGTGCTATCACACTTTGAATGACAATTGCACGGTCATGCAACATTGTACCCATATGAATTTTTTTGAGACAGATAAAACTTTATTTTGGTGGTATTTATTCACCACTGGGATTTATTTTTTTTTGCTATATAAATAAAAAAGTCCAAACATTTTGAAAAAAAGGTGTTTTTCTTATAGCATTATGCAAATAAATAATCTTTCTTCATAAATCTTGGCCAAAATGTATTCATCTATCTTTTTAGTAAAAAAAAAAAAAAAACAAATTAGTTTATAACCAAAAATTGTATTTTTTGTTTTTTAAAATTCTTATTTTTATTTTATTTTGTATAATATATTATTATTGTTTTTAGTTTTTTTTTAACTTACTGTCACCCTAGCAGTGACTATGGTGACACTGTACTACTTGTGGGGGGTGATGAAGATTTTTTAACATTTTTTTACACTGATTGCTTTTACGCTTTTACAAGGCTGTGTAAAAGCAATCATTTCTCTCTGGCTGCATTCCTTCAGCCATTGAGTAATACTGTGTGAGCTGTGATTGGTTACAGCTTGTCACATGGTACAAGGCTGTTGTGAATAGCCTTGTACCATGTGACCTCTGTGATCATTCACAGAATTCACACGTAGTAAGCAATGATATCAGGAAGTGACATATTGTTTACTACTGTTCATGTGATCACTGATTGGCCAATCAGTGATCACATGAATCGGGACTTCACACAGAGAGCACGCACAAGCAATGAATGCGGGGGGATGTTTAGAAACGTCCCCCCGCATCGGCAGTGCACCCATCCGGTCGTTTATCGACATGGACCGGATGGGAAGAGGTTAAGTGGCTTCCTGGTTTCTAGTCTAGGCCAAAATGATGTCATACATCTCAGAAGTTTTCATGGGTATTTTTGTCTTTCATCTGGAGGAGGGGAGGATGGGCTTTCTCAGCTAAGCACACCCTCCTGCCTGCATGTCTGAGCTAAGGGCAGATGGATTCCAGAAAGTAAATGCTACATGAATCAGTTGCCCCTACTTACTCACTTAGCCTTGTTTCCACATCAGAGATATGGGTTTTTGGCTACAATTCTTCAATAAAGACCACTTCTGGCCAGACTTTTCCAGACAGTAGTTGGGCGTCCCAGGGTCTCACTGGTTTCCATCAGTTCTGTATTAATGGCAGAGCTGGACATCTTCCAGTGTCAAAGGGAAGTAAGCACAGAAGATGGATCTTATTTTCGATACAGATTTCACAGTTGACTTGGTCCGCTTTCCCAGGAAAATCACTGCAGAATTTGTATATCAAAACATTTTTAGAACAAGGCAAGTGGATGATATCACGATTTCTATAATGGCCAATCAGACGAAACCTTGTAAAAATGCAAGACTTTTCCTGATTGGTAGAGAAGCATTCAGCTGGACTCAATATTATTCCAGCAGCAAACAGGTAGTCACCTACTGTATATTGCTACTAGAACTCCCTGTAGGTAGCTAATGCTACTACTATATATTACCAGGCACACAGCAGCCACATAGTTAGCTAATAGAAATTGTCTCGGGCCCGCTGCTGCTGAGAGAAAGGGCAGTGCTTCGCTCAATCGGTGCTGCAGTTCCCCTCAAATAGCGTCCTGCATCCTGATCTGTAGCATAGCTGGGTGCTGTTGGAGTGCTTTCCTTTCTGTAGGCTAATGCTGTCCAAGTCTCTGCAGAGATGGTTTACATGTGTAGTACCTACCTCAAAGGCTGACTGTGAGGTAGGTGGCCACAAATGTAATCAATAAACATGGGCTCTGCAAATAAACTGGTACAGCAGTAGCCATACGCCTGTGAGTTAGGCTCCACATATGTAAATAACAAGCTCCAACCCGGCAGAGACTGTGACAGCAGAAGTTGTCCAGTCATGGCCCAGCAGGAGGAAAAGCTCTTCAAAAATACCTGGCACACATACAGTATAGACAATAAGTGCCAGACCTGCAAGTAGTTACGGTACTTGTCTGTTAATTCACCGGATTTATTTACTTGTCAATATAGTTTACATAGTTTAACAGTTTTATTTAAAACTAATTACTTAGCTAGGATGTCAATAAAGTGGGTGACGATGGAGGCCAAAATTGCACTATGTCACCGAGAATGCTGTCGAACACATTGAGGTTGCGGGCTGGAAATCTGCAGCGCCACATATACTCGCACATACAGTGGGGCAAAAAAGTATTTAGTCAGCCACCAATTGTGCAATTTCTCCCACTTAAAAAGATGAGAGAGACCTGTAATTGGGATCATAGGTAGACCTCAACTATGAGAGACAAAATGAGAAAAAAAAAATCCAGACAATCACATTGGCTGATTTGGAAAGAATTTATTTGCAAATTATGGTGGAAAATAAGTATTTGGTCAATATCAAAAGTTCACCTCAATACTTTGTTATATATCCTTTGTTGGCAATGACAGAGGTCAAACGTTTCCTGTAAGTCTCCACAAGGTTAGCACACACTGTTGCTGGTATGTTGGCCCATTCCTCCATGCAGATCAGTGATGTTTTGGGGCTGTCGCTGGGCAGCATAGACTTTCAACTCCCTCCAAAGGTTTTCTATGGGGTTGAGATCTGGAGACTGGCTAGGCCACTCCAGGACCTTGAAGTGCTTCTTACGAAGCCACTCCTTCATTGCCCGGGCGGTATGTTTGGGATCATTGTCATGTTGGAAGACCCAGCCACGTTTCATCTTCAATGCCCTTGCTGATGGAAGGAGGTTTGCACTCAAAATCTCACGATACATGGCCCATTCATTCTGTCCTGTACATGGATCAGTCGTCCTGGTCCCTTTGCTGAGAAACAGCCCCAAAGCATGATGTTGCCACCCCCATGCTTCACAGTAGGTATGGTGTTCTTTGGATGCAACTCAGCATTCTCTCTCCTCCAAACACAACGAGTTGTGTTTCTACCAAACAGTTCTATTTTGGTTTCATCTGACCATATGACATTCTCCCAATCCTCTTCTGGATCATCTAAATGCACTCTAGCAAACTTCAGATGGGCCCGGACATGTACTGGCTTAAGCAGGGGGACACGTCTGGCACTGCAGGATCTGAGTCCCTGGCGGCGTAGTATGTTACTGATGGTAGCCTTTGTTACGTTGGTCCCAGCTCTCTGCAAGTCATTCACTAGGTCCTCCCTGTGTGGTCCTGGGATTTTTGCTCACCGTTCTTGTGATCATTTTGACCCCACGGGGTGAGATCTTGCGTGGAGCCCCAGATCGAGGGAGATTATCAGTGGTCTTGTATGTCTTCCATTTTCAAATTATTGCTCCCACAGTTGATTTGTTCATGCCAAGCTGCTTGCCTATTGCAGATTCAGTCTTCCCAGCCTGGTGCAGGTCTACAATTTTGTTTCTGGTGTCCTTCGACAGCTCTTTGGTCTTCACCATAGTGGAGTTTGGAGTGTGACTGTTTGAGGTTGTGGACAGGTGTCTTTTATACTGATAACAAGTTCAAACAGGTGCCATTAATACAGGTAATGAGTGCAGGACAGAGGAGCCTCTTAAAGAAGAAGGTACAGGTCTGTGAGAGCCAGAAATCTTGCTTGTTTGTAGGTGACCAAATACTTATTTTCCACCATAATTTGCAAATAAATTCTTTCCAAATCAGCCAATGTGATTGTCTGGATTTTTTTTTCTCATTTTGTCTCTCATAGTTGAGGTCTACCTATGATGTTAATTACAGGCCTCTCTCATTTTTTTAAGTGGGAGAACTTGCACAATTGGTGGCTGACTAAATACTTTTTTGCCCCACTGTATATGAATCAAGCATTTGTCTATGCGTTCCATTATGGCGTTTGTTGTGTTTCACGTCCCTTTGCGAAGAGGTATGTCTTCTTTACATGTACCTTGATGGCACCGCCAACGATCCTGACGATCAGTCAGCAAAAGAGTCACGGCATGATTGTTTGAACAGCGCCTTCTATTGTGCAAAACCCCGCGGAAATGACGTCAGCACTAATTACAATAGTCACCTTACACGCATTAAATAAATAAATCCGGTGAATTAACAGACAAGTACCGTAGTTACTAAGATGCAGCCTGACAAGAGGGAAGCTGTGGCCTGCCAGTGGTGGCTAAGAAACACTGACTTACAGCATACTACATACAGTACATCTTACAATACTACAATGCTGGGTTTATGCTCACGAGGATTTGCTGTCACTTTGACAGCTGATGTTCTCAAATGATGTTCTCCAAATTCCAGATTTGCTACTGTAGCGCTAACCCCCATAAGGGCCACTGAATTGTGTTCCAGGGTTGTTTCTCTCTGTATAGTAGTGGCCAAGCACACAGCAACTTCCACACTTCTGGTGTAAGAAATAGTCTAGTTGCCTTTTTTGAAGTTTATTACAGTTGAACTTGGATAGGAATTACAGAGCTGTGGGATACTCCAGAACACTTAGCAAAGATTTTAGGACACTTTCCCCTTAGCAGCAGCTTCTTTACACAGTCCCCCAAGGGGTTAGTACCAGGGGCCGGATGATGGTTGGGAATAATAGCAGCTTTTTATACTGATACTGAAACTTTTTATACTAATACTTTTCTACATGACTTTCAAAACTGTGAGCTGTAGGTTTTCAAAAGGTCATTGTTGGGGAGTCAGGGGCTGTGTAATGAAAGTTTGCCACAAAGGAGTAGGACGTTTTTTCATATGCACAGTGCCAGGGGCGGACTGACAACTTATGGGGCCCCCGGGCAATAGGGGATCATGGGGCCCCCCGTGTCCTCGCCCACACTCAAACCACACCCAAAAAAGGCTATGAAAGGTACTAGGGGCATCTCATGGGGCCCCCTACTGACCCTGGGCCCTCGGGCAGTGCCCGAGCGCCCACATGGTCAGTCTGCCCCAGGTTAGAACATGAAGTGGGCAGCACTGGTACATCATCTGCAATTTCCCAAGCCAGACATACATTAAACTGAGTGTGGCAGGGGTTAACACAGCAAGTTATTGAGATACTCTCTCCCTAGGTCTGTACACAAAGTGTCCCCTGGGCTTGGATGTTGTCCCCTGGGCTTGGATGTCTCCCTCAGACTCCAGCAGTCAGACATCTTTGTAGCACTACCAGATAAGATCCTCAGTGGCACCCATCTTTAGCTCCCAAGAGACTTGTAGAAGGATATGCCCTCCAGCTAAGCACAGCTTGGACCTCGATGAGCTAGGCAGAATCCTAATCAAGATGACCAGGAAGAGCTGGCAGCCCTCCTGGCTGGAAACCTTTCTTCCTGGAAAGGAACCATGCTCTCTCTGAAGCCCCAAACTATTTATGCACTCCTCAGCCACCTCCTGGGTATGCCTCCCAAAGGATTGGCTGGAGCTACATAAATATTCAGGTTGCTCATCTGACTCTTCTACCCACTATACTCTGGAAAGCTCCAGAAAACAGGGGGAAGCAGTCACACTTGCAGCCTAAAGTAACCACACACAGCTCTGATTACAGAATAGCTACAGGAGTACCCTTGCCTAACTAAATCCTAGCAGCCTATCTAGGAGGGTGCTACATCCACCTTCCCACCAAGAATTAGGCTCTGTCAACAAGAGAAAATTAGGAGTATCCCACACAAGAACTGGGAAGAAAAAATAACAAACAACAATGCAACATGTGGCATTCCACAAGATAAACATTAGGAAAATGGAAGAGTAAAAGTCAACAATAAACAGCTTTTTGTTTGTACAGCAGGGGGAGACTGGGGCCTGGCCAAGTAAGTAGCTGCTTAGCATTAAAGTTCCAACATTAAATAATCAAACATTTACAAGATATACAGTCAGGTCCATAAATATTGGGACATCGACACAATTCTAACATTTTTGGCTCTATACACCACCACAATGGATTTGAAATGAAATGAACAAGATGTGCTTTAACTGCAGACTGTTAGCTTTAATTTGGGGGTATTTACATCCAAATCAGGTGAACGGTGTAGGAATTACAACAGTTTGCATATGTGCCTCCCACTTGTTAAGGAACCAAAAGTAATGGGACAGAATAATAATCATAAATCAAACTTTCACTTTTTAATACTTGGTTGCAAATCCTTTGCAGTCAATTACAGCCTGAAGTCTGGAACGCATAGACATCACCAGACGCTGGGTTTCATCCCTGGTGATGCTCTGCCAGGCCTCTACTGCAACTGTCTTCAGTTCCTGCTTGTTCTTGGGGCATTTTCCCTTCAGTTTTGTCTTCAGTAAGTGAAATGCATGCTCAATCGGATTCAGGCAGGTGATTGACTTGGCCATTGCATAACATTCCACTTCTTTCCCTTAAAAAACTCTTTGGTTGCTTTTGCAGTATGCTTTGGGTCATTGTACATCTGCACTGTGAAGCGGCATCCAATGAGTTCTGAAGTATTTGGCTGAATATGAGCAGATAATATTGCCCGAAACACTTCAGAATTCATCCTGCTGCTTTTGTCAGCAGTCACATCATCAATAAATACAAGAGAAGCAGTTCCATTGGCAGCCATACATGCCCACGCCATGACACTACCACCACCATGCTTCACTGATGAGGTGGTATGCTTAGGATCATGAGCAGTTCCTTTCCTTCTCCATACTCTTCTCTTCCCATCACTCTGGTACAAGTTGATCTTGGTCTCATCTGTCCATAGGATGTTGTTCCAGAACTGTGAAGGCTTTTTTAGATGTCGTTTGGCAAACTCTAATCTGGCCTTCCTGTTTTTGAGGCTCACCAATGGTTTCCATCTTGTGGTGAACCCTCTGTATTCACTCTGGTGAAGTCTTCTCTTGATTGTTGACTTTAACACACATACACCTACCTCCTGGAGAGTGTTCTTGATCTGGCCAACTGTTGTGAAGGGTGTTTTCTTCACCAGGGAAAGAATTCTTCGGGCATCCACCACAGTTGTTTTCCGTGGTCTTCCGGGTCTTTTGGTGTTGCTGAGCTCACCGGTGCGTTCCTTCTTTTTAAGAATGTTCCAAACAGTTGTTTTGGCCACGCCTAATGTTTTTTTCTATCTCTCTGATGGATTTGTTTTGTTTTTTCAGCCTAATGATGACTTGCTTCACTGATAGTGACAGCTCTTTGGATCTCATCTTGAGAGTTGACAGCAACAGATTCCAAATGCAAATAGCACACTTGAAATGAACTCTGGACCTTTTATCTGCTCATTGTAATTGGGATAATGAGGGAATAACACACACCTGGCCATGGAACTGCTGAGAAGTCAATTGTCCCATTACTTTTGAGCCCTTAATAAGTGGGAGGCACATATGCAAACTGTTGTAATTCCTACACCGTTCACCTGATTTGAATGTAAATACCCTCAAATTAAAAGCTGACAGCCTGCAATTAAAGCACATCTTGTTTGTTTCATTTCAAATCCATTGTGGTGGTGTATAGAGCCAAAAATGTTAGAATTGTGTCGATGTCCCAATATTTATGGACCTGACTGTATATAGCTTAACTGAGCAGAGCCCTACTCCTAAACTATTTATGAATGGATAGCACATAAGCAAAACTTTGGAGTTGATCTTCTCACCTAGAAGAAGCTCGACGTTAGTCAGCATGATAGACAATATAACATTATCTTGGAGTACTATCCTCCCAAGGTTGGCCCTCCAACAGGAAGGTTTAACAGGAAACCCAGTACTGTTGAGTAATGAATATTGTCAAAGTCCATATACAGTACCTTTTAATATTAGCAACCAGTAAAAACACACTACTCCTAGTAGACATAACACTCTTGACATAAACTTAATGTATATAAAAATACCATTCTCAAAAAAATGTTCAGTAAAAAAAAAAACTGTCATCAAGAAGACATAATACTTCTCAAGTGGAGGACTGCTGAATCCCCTTCAACTGGAACATCAGTGCCTTACTAACTTCCCGTAGTAACTGACAGCCTTTGACATAAATTGGGGCCTGCCTCTCCAGGTGACAGGCCCCTACTTAACAGGCTCAAAGGCTGAACATAACTGATAATCCAGTGGACAGTAAGGCACAAGAGTGTTGTCATTTTTTTTTCCTTCTGGCCTATTTTGGGGTCAGTAAACTGTAACAAAACCTGGATGGGGTTATCACTGAAGTAGAAGGCCTGAGGAAACAAAGGACATGAGCTGTAAAAAAAAAAAGAAAAAAAAAAAGAAACAGGGTTATCTATAAAAATCCAGGACTAGGACCTGTACCATTTTCTCTTCTCCCCATATAATAATGGATCATTCTTGTTCTCTCTAAACCACCTTTTTAATGGATACTTTTTGGAATTGCACCTCCACAGGTTCCAACTCTCTTTGACTCTCTAAAACTTCTGTGAGAACCAGGGAAAAACTGGGCTTAGGTAGAGTTCTGGAACATGCAGGAACTCCAAAATGTCTTCATTGCGCCATTCCTGACATCTCTCCTTTATTTTGTTCATTACTTGGGTAGGCCTATTGGGGTATTCCTAGCCATACTCGAGGGCCACTCACCTCCTAAATATCTGTTGTAACCTGAAGAATTGTGGTAGCTTGTCAATGTCCCCTCTGTCTGGCAGGATACAGGAGTTTGGAGCCCTTTTTTATCAACTCATTGTGTGCCTTATCATGGGATATTGCCTTAGTGAATATGTGGGGATAAAGATAAGTCAACTCACCACTCCTGGTACTCTTTACTCATTTGTAATCTTTTTAGCACAGTGGTGAATCTGGAGAACAGGGTCAGGAGCAGCTGCTAGATTGGGTTTATTTCTGTCTCTGTATCTGTGGTCTCCCCAGGACCACTCAGATGTGGAAGACTCAGCTGCACTCTACTGCAGTGTCTCTTCCTCATTTAGAAGACTACACCAGTCAAACTTCTGAGACCCAGGATCTGTGTCCTCTCCACTACCCTCCCCCATTGCTTACCCATACTGGGTGTCTGGGGACTCAGTTTCGAGCTATGATGATGCTACTAGTCACTGAAGGTTTGCTGCACTTCATCTGTTGTCCATCTGACACTAATTGTGGTCACACTGTCTTGGGGACTCAGTTTCGAGCTATGATGATGCACTAGTCACTGACAGGTTTTGCTGCTGTCACATCTTCTGTCTGACTTGATACAGGTCTGTAGCAGGTATCTGAAAGGCAGAAGAGGTCTCTTGCCTCTAGGCATCACTGGCTCTCAGGAATGCTGTACAAAAGCCTGTGTTCCAGTCCTTTTGATATTGTAGTTGCAGGCAAATTGTGAGACAGCACTTGAAGAGTAGTTCCCCAACAGTGCTCACAGTTATTCCATGCCTTCATCACAGTACTTGACCCCCAGCAGCTCCCGCACACAACGTATAGATGCTCAGCTACCTGAACAGTGCTCAGACCAAAGCAGCCTCGGTGCACCAGCCCTAAAAAATTTCATGAAAAAATAATTGACAGCACCTTTATGTAGTGGATGTGTTCGGATTATTCTTGGAAAATAAGGGTATTGTCTATTGTCAAATTAAAGGGAATCTGTTGCTTTGCAATTCATGGACACAGCACTAATTCAATGAAAAAGGAATGTCAGCATGAAGCAGCAACAGTCCAGATAATAACATTGTAGAGCATTCTTGCCCAAGCTGAACCTATAAACAGAAGTCTACCAATCTACTGAGGTATGTTGTTGTTTAATGTAGTCCATTGCCCTGGTGCCCAACCTGTGGCATATGATGTGCAGCCCTCAGACCTCAGCCAAAAATGTAGCATGTTCTTAAGCTCTGACCCTCATTTCCTCTATTAGGTCTGCAGTTTCTTACAGTCCTCTGAAGCATTATATATATACCGAATATTATGTACGGCTCTTTGGTGATGTCAGAGGCCGCATTTGAAGCCCCCTTTAGCTCATAAGTTGACAACCAGTGCCTACATTATCCTTTGACAATGTGAGCTAGGATTTTGTTATTCCTTATTAATATAAAAGTCAATAAAATAGATATAACATAAAAAAGCAAATAGGGAAGATCATTCATTTTTAAAAACATTATCAAACCCAAACCCAATGAAAGCTGCTGCCAACCGTGGAGATTGCAT